GAGTCTGGCTCTGTCGCCCAGGCTGGAGTGCAGTGGCATGATCTCAGCTCATTGCAACCTCCACCTCCTGGGTTCAAGTGATTCTCCTACCTCAGCCTCCCAAGTAGTTGGGATTACAGGTGCCCGCCACTGTGCCTGGCTAATTTTTGTATTTTTAGTAGAGATGGCTGGGGTTTCACTATGTTGGCCAGGCTGGTCTCGAACTCCTGACCTCAGGTGATCTGCCTGCCTTGAATTCCCAGAGTGCTGGGATTATAGGCACGGGCCACAGGGCCCGACCCACTCATTTTACTTAATTAGACAATATAGTTAATTGATTAAAAAGTCCTAGTGCACATCACGGCAATCTATGTAAATACTTGAAAACGTATTTGTTTATGCAGTGAACAATTAGTAAAGAAAACAGGTACTTTATTAATTTTTGTGGATATTGAAATGCAGTGAGGGGGTATAATTATTGTGTCAGAACTCTGGTGTGGGACTTAGGGCAAGAATGCATCCAACTGTAAATTGTATCTAACCTCAGTGAACCCACTGGCTCTCTCAGCTGCCTCATGCTGGATGGCAAATTCGTGACTGGTGGAGATGGAGGGACAAACTGTCACTTTCATCGAATCTCCAGTCTAGCAGGAAAGTCCTCATATTTCAGAATGTCATATTGTGCCAGAGATTTCATTATCAAAGAAACTGCTTCCCAGCAATATTGTTAACCTGACTGTTCCTCAGGTGGATATAGAGGGGAAAAAAAAAAGAATAACTACAACACAAAATTCTGCAAGTATCATAAGATATGTGAAACACTTGGCAAATATTAAATTTAGGGTTAGGGTTAGGTTTCTGAATTATGTAAATGTTAATGGAAATGCCATCCATGCCTTGGAGCTTGAAATCAGGAGACCCTAATCATACTCTGTGAATATGACAGGAACTCAGCAATATCTTTAGTTCAGATCCCAGCTCACTCATGAATTCACTCTGTGATCTTGGGTCATAGCCCTTTTCAGCATTCTTTCTTTGTCTCATGTCAGAGACAAAGATAGAGATAAACTTTCTGAAATGGTCCAGGATTAAGTGAGATGAGTTATGCAAATCTGTCAGTAGAGGGTCTTGGACTACAAAAGATGACAAAATAACCCACGTAGAAAGGAGGGTGGGATAGTCTTTGAATAGTTGTGGGCAGTGAAGAGGTGACTTTGTGCCCTGTCTCTCCAGATGTTTGCATCAGCAGTATCTTCTATTTGAGCAGACTTTCTCCATCAACAGTTGAAATAGAGAGCTCATGTTTTTAAAGCTGTCATCTACTTGGGAAGAAGTACAGATGTATCTGTAACTCTGGAGAAAGATTTCAATGCCTGTCATTTGAGCTCCATGGGATGACACACTTGTGACCAGTAAGCAAAATAGATGACAGACTCTGAGTACAAGAGGCATCTATCGAAGCCACTGGAATTTAGAAGAGCTACCTGTGGAGGAGATGTATGGGACTCTGTTCTCCCCAGACCCTGGGTCTGTTCTCATGAGAAGCATCTCACTGAGGGCACAGGCCACAGCATTTACTGTTTTGTAGATAGCATTCCTGGGGTTAAACATGGACCTGTCAAGGCTCAATGGCACAGCCTTCAAGCAAACACTGAGAGAATATCCCTCCAAAAGAGATTGAGAAGAGCACTGAACGTTAAAAAAAATGGTTTTCTAAGTAAAATATGGATAATTAGCAACATTAACTGTATGTTGAAACTGCTTGAAAAACAGGAGTTAAATGTCTCTGATGTGAAATCATCCCATGGAAAGTGCCAGAAAGAAATCTTTCCTGTGTGTGGTGGTATGCCACTGAGGGGTGTGATGTATACCTTGCATATGGTGACAGCCTGTAATCCAGCCACTCGAAGGCTTCACAGTATGCTTGTGCCACCATAACCCATAGCCACCTTTGTGGGTGAATCTGGGGTGCTACTGAGGAGATCCCAATGGGGAAAAGGCAGGGCTTACTCAGTGACAGGCATCTGCTCTGTAAAGGCTGTGCACGTTTCCCCTGTCCATTTCTTCTCAACTTCCAGAGGAACTGCCTACTTCTTACATCCTCTGACACAAACAGCCCCACCCAAGTTGTGGCCAGGATGCCCGGTAAGCCACTGTGCCCTAGGCTGGAGCAGCGGCCCTGCAAGTAATCTGTCATTCATAGATCAGAGGGTTCCTGTGTCATCTAAGTGGGAAGGAGGAAGCATTTCCAGAAGAAAGAACCAAGAGAGAGTGTCTGTGATGTTCAGCTGAACAACACACCTTTTTATCTTTTATTAATGAAAAATGTTCTAGATATCAAGCAATATTTTAATACAAAGCAATAGGGTGAGAGTTTTTTTATTCCATATTCTATTTGCAGCCTCTCTGTAAGTCCTACCTTGAAAAATTGGTCAGAGGCTCTTTCTGGCATCTGCAGAGGTTCTCTGAGGTTCACTTCAGCCAGTAAAGAATTCCTTCTCCTTAACTGCTGTTGCCGTTGCTGCTGCTGAGAGTGCTGGTAGAGGCCAGAGGATTCAGTGGAGGAGGCACATAGGGCAGCGGTGGGAGTGGAGAGGGACAGGGAAGGAAAGAAGCGAGGGAGGAGAGCACCGAGCACATTTTTCTGCCCGCCTGAGGAGCCAGAGCAGCCCTGGCCCCGTGGCCCTGCCAATGCCACCTGCCCGCCAGACAAAGCCAAGAACCCACACCCGCAGCAGATCTTTTTTTGTGCAAATCTTTTACTTAGATTAAATTTTTTTCCCCCCCATTTATTTATTTTATTGCATTTTAGGTTTTGGGGTACATGTGAAGAACATGCAAAATTGTTGCATAGGAACACACGTGGCAGTGTGATTTGCTGCCTTCCTCCC